GTTCGGTTTTTGATAAGATATGGGCTTGGATGGGATTTACCTGGAGAAGAATATTGTTAAAATTATCCCTTTTAACATTTTTTTGGGTTATTTGGAAAGAAAAGAATAAGAGAGTGTTTGATGGTATTGAGAGGGATAGTAATAGACTAAGAGAGTTATGGTTTAATTAATTTGGTAACATTGTGTTGGGTCATGATATCATTAGAGACGAGGATTTTGGGAATATTATTGACACCCTAATAACTTTGTAAATTTGTACAGGGTACCTCATTGGTACCCTGTTTATATATATCTACACTTATTATCTAGAAAAAAAAAAAAATTATTTGGTTCCCTATTTATTGGGAATGACTTGTATAGGGTGGATGATTTTGGGTACATAATAGATAGCCTAACAAATTTGTAATATTTTTGTACATGGGTTGCATCCTCTTGGTGCTTTGTTGATATATTTATATTTTTTATTTAAAAAAAAAACTCATAAATGGGTACATAATAGATAGCCTAACAAATTTGTAATATTTTTGTACATGGGTTGCATCCTCTTGGTGCTCTGTTGATATATTTATACTTTTTATTTTTAAAAAAAGACTCATAAATAATACAATAGTTTTATATTTAGAAAAACTATAGGTTCTAATCTTTTTAGGGAATATAAAACCTAATCCTCTCAATGACACTGATGTTTTGTTTAATTAATCCAACAAAGTAAAAATATATATACCAATTTGTCAGAGTATTTTTATTTTTTCTACATAATATGCAAATTTTCTCTACAACCTTTAATCCTGGTTGATTTTGCAAGGGGGATGTCAAAGATGTAACTTAAGAACATTTGTGGATTCTTAAATATTTGGATTCTTATATTAGAATAAATTGCTAAATCTTGGATGATGACTGAAAGAAGATAATTTTCGTAACTTGGTAACAAACATGGTTTATTGATCCGTGATCTGCTTTTCTTTTATGGAATTTACTGTCAGATGCTTGTCTAAAGTTTAGGTTTTCTGATTTGTAGCCAAGTAGTTTAATCAGGCAGGTGTTTTGCACATTTTACTTTTGGCATGGTTGTATGTAATTGGAATTGAGTGCTGCTAACTATATGTCATGGAATGTACCTTTAAACTCTTTTTTCCTTTGTTTTTTTTGTAGGCTTCATTTGAGCGAGCCAAAAAATGGGTCCAAGAACTTCTTTCACAAGGTAGTGTTTTCCATTGCCCTAAATTTCCGTAATCTGAGTTTTCTTCGTCATGTGGCATATTTGTCTCCAGACTTGTAATTACTTGGAGCAAGTTCTACACATAAATAGTTTTTTATGAGTCTGTAACTATCATCTTGTTTCATCTCTGTAGTATCTGATTTGTGTTTTCTGGTTATGTTTAGTTGATTGGTTAGCATCTATTAGATTTGTATAAAGTTATGTTTTCTGTTGTATCTATATCTATTAAAGCAGTATTAAATGGTTCTTCTTTTATGGTTTATTTGTGTCTTATGTACGACTAGGCAATCCAAATTTGGTTATGGCACTTGCTGGAAACAAAGCTGATTTGCTGGATGCAAGAAAAGTGACAGGAGAGGCAAGTAGATGTATTTTGTCTTTAATGCTGCTTTTCTGAAATATATTTTTACTTCTTAATGTCCCTTCTGACACTTCAACAACAAAATCATATTACATTGGTTGTTTGATGCCAACTGCTTTGAACTTGAGTTAGATTATAGACTTGGCCTGCCATGCTTGCGATAGATTTTGAATTTTGATAACATTTTTCTGTGTTATCTTCTTTCTTTCTCTTCTGGGGTTTGATCTGTGATGAGGGATCAAATTCTATTGATAATATGTTTTGAAACCTCATTAATCTTTCGTTGTAACTACCAATCAAGTTAGTTTTGTAGTCACTGCTAACTACCTCAGTGGATTATTGGCAGTCTGACATTACAGTTGACCTAATGAGGATAGTTGCACCATATGGATTGTGGAAGCAACTGTTAGATCAAGTTGCTCACTAAAGGGGGACTTTAGTTAGGTTTGTAGGTTTGTTGGATGACCAAGGCCTAGATTCTCTACATATTCACATTATAAGATGTGAACAATGCATGTCTTAGGAAAAGCATTTTAGTTCCAGGTGTTGCTTTTTACATCTAGCTTTCTATGTTGTTGGTTTGTTTACTGATGCATGGCTAAAGCAGCAACTCCTAGGAACAGCAGGTAAGTTTGATCAGTTTAGAGTCTGCCACTGAGATTGGCCATTTGGTAGGGGTTGACATCTGGGCCTTACCAGCCGAAGTACTGCTGGACAATTTTAGGTCAGTATTCATGCAAATTTGACCAGTTGGAGAATATTCTTTGCCGCTATACTTTGGCAAACCTTGGGGCCCAAACAACAGGGAAAAAGATCATTGAGAATATGGTGAAATGAAAAACAAGGATCTGCTTATCTACTTCACCTGTCTGGTTGTAAGATCAATTACATTTTTTGTCATTATATTTTCTTTTGTTTTTATCCTCAGTTATTCAAGCGTATGGTGGGCCTATTAACCATAAAAATAGAGATTATGTATTTGTGGTTGCTGAAAATTTGCTTGGGCCATCATTTCATTTTATGTGCTTCAACTGTCACTTCAAAAAAAAAAAAGATCTAATGGGGGAGCAAGTGCCTTTTAAGTATGATTTGCGTGCACATGAAGCCCAGGAAATAATAAATTTTCAGTTATTGAGGCTTACTTCTGCAAATATTTTTGGAAACCTTATTTGTCTCAGAAAGCTGTGGAGAGCTTGGTAAAATGATCTCAGCGCTTCTAAATTTTACTAAAGAACTAGTTTGGAGCCCTCAAATTATCTGGGTTTTCCCTCTGCCCTTCTTTCTAAAGTTTCAGCTGCCCATTTCTTCTTCCCCGGGGCCCCTTTTTTGTCTCTTCCTCGTGTCAATTTCATCCAAAGGAACTTTTTTTTAGACCATGGCACTTGGGCCTGTTGGTCACTTTTCCCACTTAGTTAAGTGGGGTGGGGATCTGTTCTGCGTTCAACACCCAAGATTACGAAAACTTCTAGGGGTACGCAGAAAAAAAAACAAATATACTTTTTTAAAAAATACAACAAATTTTTTTTTTTTTTTTTGGTTTGCTTGCCCTATGGGCTTGAGAACAAGGGTTAGAACCCTCGACCCGGACCTCACTCATCGTCTCTGATGAGGAGATGCCAGTGGTTTACAAAAAGTTAAATATTTAGTTTAAAATTTTAGCCTCATTTTCTTCCATGCAGGAGGCACAGACATATGCTCAGGAAAATGGCCTTTTTTTTATGGAGACCTCAGCAAAAACTGCAGCAAATGTCAATGATATTTTCTATGAAATAGGTATTTCAGCAGTTCGATTATGTCTCTAAGTAATAAAGCATAATGCGTAATGCTATAGTTGGTTCATTCTGTTACATTGTGCCTGATATGTGTCTGATATACAGCAAGAAGGCTACCTCGGGTGCTGCCGGCACAAAACCCAGCGGGAATGGTTCTGATGGATAGACCTGCAGAAAGGACAGCAAGTGCATCTTGTTGCTCTTAGGTACTCAAGGTAGTAGTGCGGCTTGTCACAGTCACTGCTCATGGTATTGCATATTTTCTGTAATATGGTCTAGAGATGGACCTTTTATCTTGACTCTATTACACCCTGTTCGTGTACCATTTTATTCAGATTTGTAAATGTTCTTTTTTTTTTTTTCTTCATTTATCTTGTCAACCCAGGAATGGTATTGGAAATTTGTCTTTCTTGTAAGTAAATGCTCTGGTGTGCTTTAATTCCTGTGGAAACTATGAGATTAGTTCAGCTTCTCTTGGTAAAATTACTTTCTATTAGCCAAACGTTTATAAAATAGAACTCATCGGTAAGTCTAGGAAGAACTTGAGATGATCTCAACCAATACCCAATAGGGAATAGAACACAAACGTTTGTTAATAGCCTTATTTGCGTATGGATAGTTTTTTGGGTAGTTGATTTTGATATATTGGATCGAGCTCTATTCGGATTATAAATTGAATCTGTTAAGGTGCAATTTAAAGGAGATATATTTGTCTGCAAAAATATTTTATATATATATTTTTTCAATTATACACCTTGAGCTCATACAAACTAACAACTATGCAAGCAGAAGGAAGAATTGTTTGATTTGTGTGAAATCACCATTCAAAATGTTTTCCCTTATTTTCATTTATTATAACTAAGAATTACAAGAGATGTGATTCTTAATGTTCCTCACCCTTGGTATCTCATTCAACCAAATTAACACGAGGACATCGGCTAGCAGTTAAACAAGTTCATCACAGATGAAGGAATTCGCACTTTCCCTCTGCCTTGAATTTCAGTAACAAAAGTGAATTTCTGCTGGCTATGGTTAGACGGTCTTCCTGAGTACCATTTTCATTTCAAACAACTGAATATATATTAAACAAAAGTGTATGAATATATATGTAATATATATATATATATATATATATATATTGTAATATTATTTTATTGGAAACTAATTTAACTGCTCGAACGATCCAGCCAATGAAAATGTATTACATATCAACTAACTGATTATATATATATATATATATAATATTATAATAATTTTAACTATTTTAATTCTCCCTTTTGCCGTAAGATTCCTCTGGTTTTTCAGTTATGTTAACATTTTCCTTCTTGTGCATGTTAACTGGCAACTTCTGTCTCCATCATGCACCCTTTGTCATAGGAAATGTAAGCCTTATAATATATATATATATATACACACAATACTTATTCCACCTCAATTTGTTCCTCCGCTGCGAAGCATTGAGAATATTTCCAACTCATTTTCTCACAAATCCCGAAGTTTTCATTTGACGGAGAAAATAAAGTTTGTACAATTAAAGACTTGGAAGTACAAACTAACATCAGCAAAACAACAAAAAGCAAAATTCATTTTTTTAGCGGTTTGAAAAAGAAAATTATTGGGAAAGAAGGAAGCAGCAGTCCAATCTTTTTCGGGCTAGAGCATATAGAGGACCGTTGAAGTGTAAATATAGTCCCTTTAGAGTGCCTTTGAAGTGTCTTCAAAGACCTGATTTCATTTGAAAGCTGCATTTGAGGCACAGTCCATTGGCTGAAACCCAACTCTTGCATTCTCTAAATCATAAACTACATGCACATCTTGTTGTTGGAAGCTCCCAAAGATCCCAGCTGGTCCATAATCACCCTCCTGCATGCTTTGAAACAACAAGCATTTGACCACACTCGAGTTACTTGGTGCATTCATCGCATAAAATTTGTTTTTCTTTGGTAACACAAGGCTCACATTGTTCAAAAAATGAAACGTGATTGAAGGAAACATATGTTCGTGTTGATCATCTATAGCACTCAAATTATTGTTTGGACAAGGTACCATGTAACAAAGATCAAAACCGGTCCGATCCTCCGTCTCTTTGGCTCTTGGGTAGCTTATCATCGACTCAAGAATCGAGAGAAGTTGTGAATAGAATGGCTCTGGGAGGTGAGTATAAGTTGTTCCAGAATCAATCAACATGCCACCATTGCCTTGAGAATCAAACTCTCTCAAGTTCAAAGATACGGGGGTTGAACTAATAGTGCTAATATTACCTACACTTATGGCCTCTAACCCAATATAATAGTAGTTAGGCAACATGGGATTGGTCATCATGGGGGTGAACTGCATTAAATCACCAGTGTTAGAAATAGCAGCATCTCCTAAAACTAAAGGGCTTGTGATATTAGGATTGTTTGCATACTTAAAGGGCAAGAAACAATGAGAGAAACCTTTGTTGAGGAACCCTAGTTGGGAGGGTATAGAGAGAGGTCCTCTCCCAAATCCTGCAATTCCAATGGGTTCTTTATAAGTAGAACCCACACATCCGAAACGAAATTTAGGTACTTCCCTAATAAAAATAGTATCAGAGGACCCATGAACCCTAAGAGTATCCTTAGTTAGCATCCCTGTTACCACCCCTCCCTCGCCATAAGTGTAAGCAAATGAAGGGCATGGCCTGCAACATGTGCCCTTGAGAAAGGGTACTCAACGAGCAACCAGCCACTGTGCAGGGATCAAGAAATGTATCAGAGCTATGGAGGTCGGTACAGAAGGAGGAAGCACATGTGTCCCTAACTGAAGAGGATGAGCGAGAAGGGAGAAAAGGTGTCCATTAACTTGTAGTTTCTATACTCGTCACAATCCATGCAGTCAAATGATAAGTTGGATCCACAGGGAACCCAAGTAAGGTCACTGCCAGTATCCATATAAACTTGAATGGTCTGTGGGGGTGTCCCTATATTTAGAGATAGTAAGTACCCATCTCTTATTTCCCTAAGTGACTCCACCATGGCATCTCCTACTGATGAATCTAGCTGGGAGATGAAGACGTTGTTATTGTATGATTTAGCCCTAGAATGAGTGAGGCCAAGAACTAGTGGGTTGAGATTTTTGGGTGATCTTGCTAGGGTTTGATTGAAGTTTAAAAAGGTTACCATCCCTATCATCATAACGAGAAAGATTCTCATGGCTATAAATGTGTCTGAAGCTTAATAATCTTGATATGGACTCGTTCGTATTTATAGTCTTATCTCTTGCTGAGATTAAGATTTATTTAATATATATATATATATATATATGTAATCTAATTAATGATAAACATTGCAGGAAGATTTAGATATAGTTTGCGGCGCATGTATATATATATATATATTCTTCTTTTACAGTAAGAAGTGAGGAAGTGCTTTTTTCACGTGTGGATCCACAAGAGAGTGTTGGGGAGAGAGAGAAAAGCAAAGCAAATACATATGTCGAGAGAAAATGATCATAATTATAAGCTGCATTTTTGTTTTTGACATATAAATCTTACCTAAAAAGCATATAAATGATCTATTTACATACAAATATTTAGTGCGCATGCTTTTATTTTATTATCCATATATATTAAATATTTTTCTGAGTCTAATGTTCGTATATTAATTAATACTCACAACACACATCTTTTATTAAAAAAAAAAAAACACACACACACACACACACACACACACATATATATATATATATAGTTTACCGTTAACATGGATATTTAATTAGGCTTACCTTACCCATTTTTGAGTTCGATGTCAGTTTTACGAGGATCTTCCATACATAAATATATAGACACACAGATGCATACATGTAGGGTTATTAATATTTTGGTTAGTGAGTAGATTCAGAGTGGAGAGCACGTGCATTTCTCGTGGCATATAATTGGACAAGATAATGCAAACTAGGGTTACAGCATTTGGAGAAGAAAAAAGATAATTCCAAACATTTTTGTGTGTGTGTGGGTGTATGTACATGCATCACTTTCACATTTATTAATTACATGGATCGAATTGAAGAAAGAAATATGAAAGTTATGATCATGTGTTTGTATTAAATAAATAAATACGAATTAATTAATTTATTGTACAAGTTAACGACTAATCATAAAATATACTTAAATTTTTAGAAACATATTTTTTTTTTAAAAAAGAAAGTAAATTTTAATATTAATATTTTTTTAAAAAAGAAATATATATATATATGATGTAAGAGAGTATCAAATAAAGTGCTGAGAAAAAGAATTAAAATTTTATTATTTTCATGATTAACTTAGTTAAAATATATTTTTTTTTTAGTAAAATACTAAAAAATGAAAGAAACAATTAATTAAGTGAATTTGTTAGCATGTTTTAGATAGATAATTTTATGGGCTTTATTTAAAATAAAATGTTTATTTATCATAAAAGAAAACAAATTTAAGTAAATAAATGGTGTATGTATGTATGTATATATTTACGACAAAGGATTTGCCCATTACTCAAATTTATATTCATATCATACAAATTAAAGTTGTTTTTAACATTTAAATTAAATGGGGTTTTGGATATCAAACTGGAAAGCTGCTTACGCGGAGATGACACAACATCCTTAAAAACTTGAGAGAATATTGATCGATCAATCCTAAGATGACATGTAAATATTGTCACATGGGTTATAGTTAACCCCCCACCCCCATATAATGTGTGTATATATATATATACGTACCGAAAAAGAATTTAACTTTATTAAAAGATGGTAGAATATTAATCAATTCACTTTAAGCATTGTACGTATATGTATATTTAATTAGATAATGGAAAATGACCGATCATAAAGTTGTGTTTGATGAGGAAAGGATGATTATCAGAAAATAAGAGCATCCCATTACCATCTGGTCTTGATAAATTGTCAAGCATAAAAACTGACCTGAAAATTAACAATCAAATAACAAATTGTATTATGCAGATTCATCTTTTTTAACTCCCCAAAAAATACTGACTAACTTATAATATTTCGATTCATTAACATTAAAAACTTAACTTATTAGTATTTTAATGAAATTATAGTGACTAATTTGACTTAAATTTTAACAAGTTTGTTACATTTTTTAACCCCCCAAAAACAAAAAAAAAAAAAACATTCCAAGGTGTATTTCTAACAATAAGTCACATTGTTGTTCTTAGCTTGGAGGAGAGAGTGGTGTGTGTGTGTTCTCTTATGTGTGAGTATAAACATTAGAAAGTGAAAGACACGAAAAATAGAACTAAATAATTTAATTAATTAATTTTATATTTAAATCTTAAACTAATCCTTTCATTTTCCACGCTCGAATACATTACAAATTTTAATTATTTTAGATAATATTAATTAAAATGTATTTATATATATATATATATATATATGGTTCACCTTACATGCAAAACTCATCAAATTTAAGATCAACTTTTTATTTGTTATCATTTATCTTAAAAAATTCTAAAGTTTTAAAACTTGATGTTAGTTACACCCCAAGTATCTTAAAGGATTTCTTAGTGGTTGAATGGAAGAAGGAAGGCTTTGGAATTAAGCCTTAAGGGCATGAAACCTTAAAGGCTTTGGAATTAGCTCTTCGGCCAAATCCATCCAAGACATGGAAGACATGAAATGGGCATTGGAAGGATATCCAAAACTAATTGCCTACTTTGACTTATTCTTAATCTTCTTCCAACTTTTAATGTAATCCAATCTGAATTCTCTCTCTCTCTCTCTCTCTCTCTCTCTCTCTCTCTCTGAGTATCAATGGAAAGAATACAGATTTTCACAAGTTGACACATCTGGTGGTTATTCTAGGATCATTCACTTGAAAACTTTAGAAAGGAATTCCTGAGATTGACTGAAATCAAGAGGTGCTGTTTACAAATCGAGCTAAAACACATGAGATATTAAGGCAATAAAAGCAAGAGAAAAACTTGTCTTCTCAAGAGATTTCTTCCCCTTGATAACACATCCTTCTGGATCTATCATATTAGCTCGATAATCGAATATCAGTAACAATAATATCATTTTAATTATTTATTTTTAAATTTTAGTCATATCAGAAGAAAAAAAAAATTAAACCGAGAAAAACGGTAACCAAAAAATTTGAAACAGCATCAACTTGAATGTACAGCCATGCAGATCAGATATCAAGGTTATACTTGAAAGGTATTCAGAGTTAATCATTTACAAGAAGTTGATTTCCATCCATATGGAAATCAAATAAACTTTCCCTATCAATTATACATACAAAATGGAAATAAAAGTTAAATAAAATGCATTACCTAATAAAAGAGAGATCCTACCAGTCACTGCCTCTTTGCTAAAGTTTTCTTCAACCCCTTCAAAATCTTCCCAAACCACATCAAGTTCATCGCAGCTAGTACTGATGGTACCACAAAAACCAAAAGGTATCCAAATGCGTGCATCTGTATGACCTGCCAATGCATTCAACTCCAAACCATTACTGGAAATTGGCCGAGTCCTTCACATCTTCAAGTTCAAAGTATAATCTATTGTAATTTGATGCTAAACCAAGTCATCATGACTCGTGCTGTGTCCGCTATTAAATTACTTAGTAACCAATCTTGATATTAGAACAGTATAATATCCCAATGAGATTAGTTTACTTAATCTTTTCCCAATTCAATAATTAATAATAGGGTTTTGTGACTAGCCCAGACAGAGCAAGTAATACCATTAAAGTTCTAACAGCTAATCTTGGCAAAGGAACAAAATTAGAATCATTACGCTATAACAATTTCAGAAAGCGAGTCTCAAATATAAAAAGAAATTTGATACCCCAATAAGTAAAATTACAAATCCTCCCAAATAAGCTAATATCTAAATAACTTCAGTTAGTACTTCTGTGGAAAGATGTATATTACTAGAAATTGTTCTACAAGAAGACTTGGAATCCAAAGAGAGGTTTTTTTTTAAAAAAAAAAAAATTCTAAACAGAGGTGTTAATTTTGTCAGTTTTTAAGTTCCTAAAAGACAAAATTGGCACAAAAGCACAATCATCATCCCCAATTTTTGTCAAACTCCTATTGTAAAGTACAGGGTGAATATGAAGACTGTACTGTTACATATTTTTCAACTTCTGGAAATAAATTAATTGAAACTTTTTCATTAAAAATTTGCCAATGAACTTAAGTTTGCTCCTACTCAAGCAACAAGAAATGACTCTAGAAACTCAATATGAAAACCACAGTGGACGGATAAATATTTGCACCCATAGTTAAAGAAAACTATTCAATCAGAACAAGTTTAAGGAAATAAAGATTCTCAGTTTCCACAATTTAAAACAAAGCACATGCAAGATCCCAGACAATCATTATTACCTGGTTGTAGTGCAGGTAAACATGGTAGAACATGTAAACAAACAGAAGAACTCTTGCAACCTGCATTCCATATTCAGAAAGTATCTGAGGTTAAAGAAAAAGAAAGGGGGGTGGGGAGGGGGGGGGGGGAGGGGGGAGAGGCCTTGTAAGGATGAAAAAGAACTCATATAAGCAGAAACTATAGGTCACAGTGGCATTCAGGTTATGGAAACCTCAGTTTGTCACAGATGTAAGAGATAAGAAAGATTCCAATTCAGGAGAAACCTCAGTAAGTTTGTCACAAATGTAGAAGATAAGAAATAATGCCGTTCAGGTTATTGAAACATCAGTAAGTTTATCACAAATGTAAAAGATAAGAAAGAATCATCAGCTCTTTTTCCTGTGAGAGCTTAACTAAATGTCTTTTTCCATGTTTTTCTTTATTCCGCCTTCTCCAAGGGACCGATTACAGGGGCATCATGGTGCAACAATTTCTTCTAAATGAAAATTCTAAAGGATTTGAACTCACCAGCCAAGCGAAAAAGATAACTACACCATTAATAAGATATGCATTAGACCTCTTCATGCCAGCAATATCAAGATACCTACATAAGACCAAACAAATGATTTAAGCAAATTTCAAAATCCCTTTCTTTAATAGAAAAATAAATATTGCTAAGACAAGGGACCAAGGAGGTGCCACACCTATGCATAAAGAATGCCAAAGACGAAGAATTAAATCAAGATTCTGATCTCAATATAATTCAACTGCTGGAAACTCACCATCTCATATTAATCTCTGGAGTCGTGACCTCAGAGATGAGAACCATGTATGTATAAAGCTGTCCTTCTCCAGAAAACAGAGAATATGCTACTGCAAGTCCAGAAAGAGAGTGATGTACAACCTGAGACCAGATATTATTAGCATCTTATTAGTTTTACTGACATGCCTCTACAATGCATATACAAGTTCAGTATAGAGTTCTCATTCATGCACGCTCCACATTATGATTTACCTTATTGCAACCTAATCTATTATATTATACTGCTGACTAGCCATTTAGTGGAGATTAGTCCTAAATATATCAAAAAAGGCCTTAGAGCTACTTAAAAGTGATAAATATGCAAATGGCATGATTAGAAATTCATTGAAATCCTGAGATCAAATATGGAAGTCAAGGTTATAACCTTTTTTATTTCCATCTGAAGATACTATGCTTCACATTCAATGAAGTAAACCACAGCAAATTAGGAATTTAAAACTCCATAGTTGAAGGCAAATGTTCACATATTTAAAAGCAAAGATAGCAGAAGTAGGTGCTTATATGCACATGTTAAAAAACCAAGGCAAGGTAAGGCAACAGAAATGCCATATGAAATAAGGTGTTTCTTTCCAAATCTTCAAAAGATCTATAGGAAACTTATAGGTCCATCTAAAACTATAGAAAAACCTAATAAGACTGAAATTACAAAAGTAGTATTCAATCTTTAAGCATTTAAATAATGTTAATTTGTAATGGTGCTGCCTTAGATTTACAAGATGCTCTTGCAGGATTATGAAAAAAGCATATCTACCATTTCATTTAGACCTGATTTTATACCAGGCCAAACATGCAAAAGTCTCAGATTATTATCCCTCTTCCTAGCCACCTTAACTGATGCTTTACAAAGTCTAATGCTAGACATGATTTTTCTTCATGGAACAAAACCATTCAACACAAAAAGCTTTTATTAAATAATACAAAACCACAACTCCGAAGGGAAGGTTGGATGCTGTCTTCTTCATGTTCAGCTACATCTTCACCAACAAGAATGAAGACTACATTACGTTATGAAAAAGGGGAACTGAGGCTTTGGAAAATATTTTTTGTTTAATTATGATGTTCAGGAAATATTTTGTACTTTGATAAACTCCAATATAATGTACTCAAGGACAAATAAATAAATGAATAAACAAGAATAAGCACTAGCCACTACATGTCCAGCCTATACATTCACTTACATACTCTATTCCACCCAAAGAAGGATATAGCCAAACAATCATTCCAAGATCAGCAAGGAAGTAGCCAACGGAAACCTGTAAAAGGATATGCAAAGAAACACCATATCACCTTTAGAATGCTTCTCAGAATTTTGCTCACAAGTCAATCTAGAATAATTTACTAAAAAAAACATCGAAAAAAGTTCAACATGCTAAAAAAAAGGTGGGGAAATGAATGATGACATTTGATACATGAAATAAATTGTATGTTATACATACAAATATGTATAAGAATATGTATAGTAACATGTGGTGGATGATACATAAAAGTATTAATTAGAAAAACAAGAACAACACTCTTGAAAACACTAAAAGCAACCTTTTATTATATTTTCGATCAAAAGAAAAAGAAACTTTTGTTATGGTGCATACTTTATTGTTACTTTTGTCTTTCACCCATCCTATTCATTTTCAAGTATCACATGTTTTTTTATTTATGAGCGTATGAGAGTTAGAAAGCTGAAATGCAACCTATACCTTGTACGTGTTTCTTCGCAGGTTCCATATATTGTTTAATGTCACACAAAAAAAAAAAAAGGAAGTATCTCTTTCGAGGAAGTTCAAAATTGAAAGGAAAAAACTAGAGGTAACATAAGCCCGCACAACTATATGGATATGCCTCACTGAATGGGCAAACTAGATTTTTAATTTTAGGCTAAACAGCAAATATTGTACAGAAAGTGCTAATAAGAAATCACAAAAGCAAGAAACTATAAAGAGTTTGAAGAAATTGCATATCAAATTTTAATCACACTTATTCCACAAAAATAATTCACTCATTCCTAGCATAACCAACAAATTTTAAACACGTGTCATAAGTTGCACAGTGATACATTAGTGAAAGCGTTCCAAGAAATATTAGAAGAATTGTTCTGTTTGGAGCACCAAAGCAATACATCACTAAGAACAGAAAATATAAACTGCCTCCAAGGTATAAGACCAAAGTCAAATGTTTGAGTCACTAAAATAAAATAACACATACCCCCAAAGCAAATGCGGAAACAGGTGAGCTACGAAAGGTGACAAGACCACCAATGTTTTGGTCAGAAAAGAGATCTGACCAGAAGACAAAGTACAACGATATAGCTGTGATAAAAATGGCATGAACCGTAGAGATACCACTGCCAGTTTAGATCATTAATCAATAGGTATAAGCAATAATCTAAAAATTGGGAGGAAATTTGAGGAAGGATCATGTCCTTACCGATTGTTCCATTCAATTCGCTGGATTTTTGTAAGACCATTGTAAGTCTTGAAATTGAAGGCACTAATTAACTGAACGAGATCATATGCCTGTGTCAGGAGAACACATACAGTGCATGTTAACATGACAGTAGCTCGAACTGGATAAATTGGTCATGCAACTTAACTGAATCTGAAAGAAAGCCCAACAATACCCAAAAAAAACAAAAAAAAAAAAAAGGAAAAGAAAAATCTGGTTGTACTCAGGCAAGGGCTTCTTGTGTGCATACCACTTTGCAAACAAGGATACCAGCTAGTATAGAAGTGTATGGAATGAAGGGATCTGCTAATAAATAGTTCTTAACCAGCTCCTCAGCCTGATTTTGGTAGGACTTGATAGCCATAACTGTCTGTGATGACATTGCTATCATACCACAATCTTTCAACTGTTATTCTATTAAAAGGCTTTAATGAACCTTCTTCATCCCTTATCTTCCTTTCCTCCCTCGTCAACCTGCCATTTTATCCCATCTATAACACACAAAGAAAAAAATATGATTACAATCAACCACAGTGGATTTTACATTTTTAGAATAATCTAGAAAATTATAACTCCTAAACCACCATAATTTTCTAAAATATGACCAAAATTTATTACATACCCAGCTTTGAAGAAATTTAAAGAGGAAAAGTTTCTATTTCGCCTTTCCCTGGTTAAAGCAAGAAATAGTAAACTTTTAACACTTACTAGCACCACATTCAACTAGTCCACATGAAAAGCTGAAACAGCCAGATACTTCAAATTACAAATGCAATCTAGGTTTACACTGCTATCCATAATAATTTATGATGTTGTGAAAATTTACTTTATTTTACCATCAGGATGAATATCAGCATGTGAAAGAAATAGTAAATGAATCATTACTTCTTATTATTAGTTCAGCTCAATATTCTTCAAATATATACTCATTTCCATATATCTCCATAAAGTCATTACTTCCCGTGACTCCTTTAGGGCTTACCCACAGTATGTCAAGTTCAACCATTTAAGGTACATCAGTTACAGTGTGACTCTCAGCATGATTAGTAGCTCATAATATCTTTATCATCCTAAACAGCACTAACAAGTAAAAGAAGAAAACATCAGACCCTGTTATTACTAGAGAAAAATAATGCTATACAAACGTCAAAACAGACAAGAAGGAAGGGGACACTATCACCCGGTAACGCACAGTAAGAAAATAAAATAATTGGAAGGAAAAGGGAGAACCCAGAAAACTTGATTAACATGAGATTACGAAGATAAACGCCGAATCAAATTCTTAACTTAGAGAGGAGAAAAAAACATTTGAGACCAAAGGACTCCAAAGTTAATCTAAATATAAACTTTTTGTTTTGCTAAGGATCTGATATCACTAGAAACAAGTCACAGTAAATACTATATGTTTAGCGGAAAAAAAAAGGGAAAATCAAAAGACCAAGGGAAATAAGTATAGAGAGGCGAAAAATAAGATTGCAGAGCATACCGCAAGCACTAACATCCCGCCATCGATGAAGAAACCAGACGAGGTATCATAAAGCGGCGAAAACGCATATGAGCACCAGGATCAACAACCGATGGACAAAAAAGAAGGAGAAAAGCAAATTTGTTTGTTTGATAATAAGGAAGAAAAAAGAGTAGTGAATGAAGGGCGAAGGAGAAGAATCCCAAATCTGGAGCAAAAAGAAGGAAATGGGAAAGGTTAAACACGCGGGAAGAAGCAATCCATTGAGCAGAAGGCGAAAAAAGGCGAAAGGGTAATGTAAAGGAATAAATAATAAAACCTAAGGAATGGGAACCATGAAGAAAAGGACTTGAGGAAGAAAGAGAGAGAGAGAGAGAGAGTCAATGCAGTGGAGATGCGAGGTCAGTATTCTTAGAGAAGGAAAGCAGAGAGTCAGAAAGAGGCAGATGTTAACATCATGAGGAAGAAACAGGATTTCATGACCAACAACCCGTAAGCTTCAATCAATAAGCTAATGAACGGAATCTTCAGGAGAAATAATAAGAAGAAAAAGAGGATGGATATATATATATGTATGTATGTATGTATGTATGTACACGCACATATGTCTTGTGGGTTGATGATGATGATACGTGTAGCGGAAGGTTTGGGTGAGGAGAGTTGGTTGGTTGGGCCGTCGTGGATTGCGTTTTGTCTCCTCTTCAATTAATCCTTAAGGGTAACGAGGAGCGTGGTTACACGTTCCTTCAGGCGCGTACACCTTTTCCCTTCTCTTTCTTTTTTTTTTTTTTTAATTTGTTATTTTAATCATTAAATTTTTATTTATTTCTAAACATATTTAATGTCAATAGCTTTCAATTTAAAGCAGTTATTATTTTATGCGTTATGCATTATTATTACTATTATTATACTATCCATTTCTATAAAATAAATAAATTTAAGACCAATTTAAAATCTTTTTTTTTCTGTTGATGATACATTTTGCACTTAATTTATATTATCTGTATGATTATTATATTCAATAATCAATCTTATAATTTAATTAGTTAAAAATTATTTTATAATCTCCAAGACAAATTTAATTGATTAAAATTTTTATCCCTACAGTAATAATCAATCATGTAAAGTTAATTAATAAATTTTAAATTTACTTTTAAAATATTATAAAAATTACATCAATTTATGATTATTCAATAATCAAGATCTATATAATTAACAAAAATAATAATAATAATAACTTGGAAAAAAAAAAAAAAAAAAAAAAAAAAGTGAAAAGGCTGCCGTCTCAGCCCAAATTGGCGGACGCCGAAGTCTAAACTCTAAAACCCTTTCTTTTTTAGGGTTTTAGGCAACGGCGCCGGAAGTAATTTTTCGTAACTGATGATGCTCTCTTGACCGAGACAACTTCTTGTTCTTCCTCCTAAATAAAACCAGAAGTCGATTGCCACCTCTTGGAGAAAAGCTAGGTAAGCAAAGCAGTTCAACAACAACTCGTATTTATCTCTCTGCTCTCTTTATTTTCTCTGTAAAATCATGGGTTACCCAGAAAAAGTTCCATGAACTAGGAATCGTTATTCTTAGTTAAAAGGCATGGTTAGATCACCAGTTCTAGATTACCTATAGTGCTTTTTTCTCTGTATTCCTTAATCGTATCATGATATTTCGCAGATTATCTGAAATGCTTACCCAATCCAATCAATTTCTTGCTTTCCCTCCAATTTTGTATAAAAAACCCTATCTTAAGCTTCAGTTGTTTCCCGTTCGGTTTGAATTTCGATATTTTCATGGCGCTAAACTCGCCCATAGAACAAAGATTTCAGTCACCGAGTCAACTCATTCACCCTCTTCTCTGTTGGCTACTCGTGTCTCTCGGGTTGCAAGAACAGAAGCTCAAGGCGTTCTTTTTGATTATTTGCACTGTACTAGAAACTTAAGCTTCACAGACGCTGAACATATTAGCAAAAACTCACCCAATTTTGTTCAAGTTTTGTTGTCGAAGATTCATTGTGAAAAGGATGTGACCCGGTCTCTGGCCAAATTTCTTAGATACAATCCATTAAATGAGTTTGAGCCGTTTTTTGAAAGTTTGGGTTTGAGCCCGAGTGAGGTCACAGCTCTTCTTCCTCGGGACTTGATGTTTTTAACTGATGACAGTGTTATGCTTGAGAACTATCATGCTTTATGCAATTATGGGATTCCTCGTGCTAATATAGGTAAGATGTATAATGAAGCAGGAGAGATTTTCAGATATGATTATGGAGTGTTGGCTTTGAAGCTTGAAGCATATGAAAGTTTGGGTCTTGCCAAAGCAACAGTCATAAAGCTTGTCACTTGTTGTCCATTTCTTCTGGTTGGTGGTGTTAATGGCAATTTTGTTCTTGTTCTTGATAAACTCAGGAGATTAGGAATGAAAAATGATTGGATTGGAGGATATTTAACACCGAAAAGGACATACAATTGGTGTAGAATACTTGACACCATTGATTTTCTTGATAAAGTGGGTTACTCCGAGGATCGCTTGGGTAATCTGTTGAGGACAAATCCTGAATTGGTGTTTGAAGGTTCAGGGAAGATGGTTTCTGTGTTGTTTGGCAGGCTGCTGAAACTGGGGCTTAAGATGAATGAAGTTTATTCTTTGTTTATGAAAAACCCAGAAATCTTGTCATCTAAATGTATAAAAAATTTGTTTGAGGCACTGAATTTCCTGTTTTATATTGGGATGGGAACAGAAGACATAGCGAAGGTTGTGTCTAGTAACATAGAGCTTATGGGTTCATCTTCTTTGAAAGGACCAAGGACTGTCTGCAAAGATCTAAAAGTTACCAAAGATGGCCTATGCCAAATTATTAAGGAAGAACCACTCAAGTTGTTCAGCCTGGCTTCTAAATCAAAAGTCAGAAGAAAAGAGCACATAACTTCCCTTGATTCAACTAAACATATGGAGAAAACAGCATTTTTATTGAGGTTAGGGTATGTTGAAAACTCAGATGAGATGATGAAAGCTTTGAAACAGTTTCGAGGCAGAGGAGATCAATTGCAGGAAAGGTTTGATTGCCTGATAAATGCTGGTTTAGACTGCAATGTAGTTACTAGCATAATTAAACAAGCTCCAATGGTGCTTAACCAGTCAAAAGATGTTATTGAAAAGAAGATTGATTGCTTGAGAAACTGTTTAGGTTATCCGCTTGAATCTATAGTTGCATTTCCAGCATATTTATGTTATGATATCGAAAGAATAAACCACAGATTTGCAATGTATGTGTGGTTGAGAAAGAGAGGTGCAGCAAAAACCATGTTATCCTTGAGCACCATTCTTGCTTGTTCCGATGCAAGATTTGTGAAGTATTTTGTTAATGTTCATCCTGAAGGTCCAGCCTACTGGGCTAATTTAAGAAAATCATCTACTTCAAGCTAACAGTTGTTGTATTTTTTTTTTTTTTTAATTTCTTTCTTGAGAAATGTAATATTCTTTAGCAAGAGTTATGTAGAAGATAAAATTCATCCTGCACAAGAAGAGGGGCCCGAAAATCAGGAGTCACCTCCAGACAGATAAAAGTCATTAGATACTCATATAATGAGGATTCTTCTATCTTACTTTTATATTATACTAATAAAATTCATTTTTTCTTTACACCTTCATTCACATTCAGGCTACTCTAATGCGGAAAAAAAAAAAATATTTTCTCTTCCGATTGTCTTGTTTGTTGTGCTATTATGTTATAAGGACTCATGTAATGTAGTATAATTTAATGTAGGGAGGGTCATTATGATTCATTACTTCTTATGAACATCCTGTAACCCTTTTTGAGTTGGAGAAGGGTGAATGTAACTCTTGTTGAATTTTGATAAATAGTAGTTTAAACCTGTCTATTTTAATTTAATTGATACAGTTTAGTACTAAATTAAATGTAAGTTAAAGTAATTGAATGATAAGTTTAAAAAAAAAAAAAAAAAAAAAAAGAAAAAGAAGGAAGAAAGGAAGGATTGAATTCTCAATCTCTTCTGTTCTGTGATTTGATTTTTGTATTTTAGTCTGGACCATTCTTCTCATCTCATGTGGAAACAGAGAGGGGATGGTGTTATAACATACTTAGTTTCAGACCACATATTAAATGTTTATATATGCCTGTATATGGAATAAAATTGATTGGAGGCAACGAAGCTTAAGCTTGGCCCCCATTTTGGAGATATATACATACACAAACATGTGGGTGGATATGCAATTCTCAAATGTTGCAAGGGAAATGAGAAGATAAATGTTAATTATTTGACAAATAAATCTCTCTGTGTTTGTTCAAGAGCAAACTGTTTATTATGTTGATATTGAGAAATTCACGAGAAAATTTTGAAGACGACATTTATCTGATCCGATCCATTCAAAGGCAAAAACAGTATTAACTTTGTCGTTTCCGAGTAACCTTGTCCGGTAGAATTCTGATGGGCTGATCCTTCACTCCATGACTAATTTCTCATTCACCACAACTTCCTAACATCAAATTGGTCATATCCATGCCGATATAGCTTGAGACTTATGGGTTCTGGATTTATATACATATAAATTTTACATGCAAACCCAATAATTTTCAAGTTAATTAATTCCAAGCGAAGTTAGTATTTTTATTAACTAAAAATTTATATATTTTAATAATTACACAACACGTACGGTAACTTTCTAATTTGACACACATAAAATATACAATCTGATTTGAAAAAACAAAAACAAAAACACAAAAATATCAACTGATGAATGATTAATTCTTCCATAGTAATTAACTTACACGTAAAAGGAGCAAATTAATTTGAACAACTCAAAAATTTGTGATTTGAATTCTAAACTAGAAGTTACAGAAGGCTCTCATTTTATCAGCATTCTAAAATTTTGAGGATAAAATTGGTTAATTCTTCAACATCTCAATTTTTTTTTTTTTTTTTTTTTTTTTTATAAAAAAAATAAGAACTACTTACTTCTTTCTCTTGCATAATGAAAGTTGTATCGAACCCTTAGTAATCACCTTTAAATTGAACAAGATTTGAAATATACGATTTACAAGTTTGTGAACATCCACATAAGCTATAAAAGAGAAAAACAAAAAAAGTTGTGAATCAATAAAATATATTGTAGATGAAGACTCTTACTTTTGTTCAATTGACATCTCATTCTTGCCAACTTTAGAAACTGAACCTACTTATTATCATGAAATTAGTGCAATTGAACTATTTTTGTTCAATTTTCAATCTTATTTTTGCCAACTTTAGAAACTAAATCTATCTATTGGGTCCATTGTTTGCCAACTTTAGAGATTAAAATTACCTACAACGTCCACTTATAAGAAATCAGAACAATTGAATTAGTTTTGTTCAGTTAATATCTCATCTTTGTCAACTTTAAAAGTTAAACTTAACTTATCAATTGATAGAAAAATTAAAATAGTTAGACTGAACTTTTAACATACCATCTTTACTAACTTTAAAAAGTAAACCTATCTATTATATCTCTTGATTGAATTATTTTTGTTCAATTAACATCTCTTCTTTATCAATTTTAAAAACTGAACTCACCTACTATCTCTGTTAATAAAAAATCAGAACAATTGAATTATTTTTATTCAATTAATATCTCATCTTCACTTACTATATGTATTGATATGTTAAGTCAGAACAAATGAATTACTTATGTTCAATTAACATATTATATTTGCCAACTTCATAAATTAAACCTACTTATTGTGTCCGTATGATAGGAAATCAAAACAGTGGAACTATTTTTGTTTAAACTAAACTTACCTACGATGTCTGTTGATAGGAAATTAGAACAATTGAACTGTTTTTATTAAATTAATATATTGTTGTTTTATGTTTACTAAAACACTAAAATTAATACTGTTTAGTACAAAAAAATTCTAAACAAAGGAGAGAACAAGAAAATTAAAAAGAGAATTTTTCTTTCTTAAGAATATGGATGATTATTTATAATAGAACATATATTCAATTTGAATTCAAATGTTAACGGTGTTATTGTACATTAACAGTCAATAATTAAATTAAAAAAAATTTATAAATATAAGAACTAAATGTAAAAAAAAAATATATATATATCAGTGAATGAATTGAATATTTTAAAATAGTATAAGAACTAATTTAATTTTTTTGGTCTTTGATTTAATATATCATTTTTATGTAAAGAAAAAAAATAAATAGTATTAAGTAATAATTTAATAGAAATTAATAATAACTATAACTAGTGGCATTCCCAGTGTTGAAAATTTCTCAAAAAATGAGACTGAAAACTACAGGTGAGTCTACTAAACCAGAATTAAGAGAATGAATCATATGGGAGAAGAGAAAAACAATTGAAATTCAAGCTGTTGGAACGTAAAGAGATTTACCCTATTTTTTAACCAACAAGTCCAACACAATACTTTTCCTCTTCTACCAGTATAATTATTAAAAACACAGCTAAATCATAAAGACATTACTTAATTTAACATAATTTATAAAAATATAATTACATACAAACAATTATACAAAACATAATTATTTTTATATCCAAAATGATAGGAAACACTTCCTAGAGTGCATCAATATGATCTGTTTGATTTGGATTTCATTTCAACTCAGCTGTTATTACATAGCAAAAAAAAGTTTTAAGGTTATCTTGCATCTCACTTTAGAGTGAATAAGTCCTTTTACCAACAAAAGTAAATAAGTTTTTGCTACATTCTCTCAACAAACAATAGTTTACAGATTTAAAAAAAAAAAAAAAAAAAAATTCCTACCTAAAATTGTATAAAAGACCAGATCAGCCAGATTCTTAATGAGGCTAAACCTAAAAATCCATTTTGCTTGACACACTTTTCAAACAATTCTGTCTTCACAATCCATTTAGCTTCTAAGTTACAGCATCTTTTAAAGAAGATGAAGACGAAGAGGAAGACAATCCAGAGCAGCTACTTCGGGCTTTGTCTTTAATAAATGCCTTTTGGACATCATCTTTAAGCTCCATAAACCGAGTTCTCTTTCTTCTCTGTTCATCAGGAGTGCCCTTCTCAAGGTAAAACAAATCTGGGAGGTCATCCTCCATGAACCTATCCAGCACTTCAGAGCAATGAGGGAAAAAGCGGCGACCCATGTTCACTGCATTATCAATAACCCAAATTATTATGTGGCTTTCTAAAATTATATTTTCTTGGCTTGTGCTCCATTGAAGGAAGAATCTGGCTTCGTATAAGAAATTAATGGAAAAATACAAGTAACATTCATTACATGATTTGGACTGCACTAACCCATTTTTGCAAGTTGGATGATCCCATATAGCACCCAAACGATTAACTTATCATAGAGATACTCAATGGATCATAGATATTTCTGAGGATTCTTTTATATGTGGTGGAGAAAGCTGAACCACTAACAGGATGAAGTGAGAGTTTGCACCATAATTATCAAATACCAAAATATATGTACAAAATACATACATTTTTAATTATTACCTTGAAAGGCAAAAAGCAAAATTGCAGCTTTTTTTTTTTTTTTCTCATATCCTAATATGTAAACAGAAAATCTTTAAACATGAAACATATTATGTTTTTACATGCAAGGTAACCACCCAATCCAAACTCCAAAGTAACAAAATTGCCATCTGGTTTTCCCTGGTTGCCTATAGACCTACTAGACCACTATAACCAATTGCTGCAAAGAAAGGCACCCTAAAGTACAAGTTCCACAGGAGATTGAGAGTAACACGAACAAAATAACAGAGGCCACAAAGAGATGACATCGTATTCAATTGAGACAACGTGAACAAAATATTGAATATGAACAGATTTAAAGCTTGTACCTGTTTTCATAAGTGATTCCACCCTAGAAAGAAGCCTTTTCTTCTGCATGGTAGGTGTCTCATTTAAGTCAACCTCCCTTAGGTTCCCATTCGATCCTGATGAGGCTGAAGGACCGGCAAACTCAGATGTTTCAGCATTAGCAATGTTCATGGCTACCCTGGCTTCAGCAGGGAAAAATAATCGTGCAAATGAAACTGCAACACATAAAAATAGAAGCACATTAAGAAAGGGATGCTAAAACATTCCATGTAAATAAAAAGATATTCACTTTAAAGTGAAATTCCAAGTAATAACATAACCAGAATGTCTTTATGAAGGAAAATAGCTTCGAAAGTGTCGTCTACAAACTAATACCTCTGTTTTCCAGGTATAGCAGCTTCATGTGCAGATCATCAGCCACTGTGTGCGAGTTCATAGATACATCTCCAGCCATTGGATTCCTCCTCATTTCTCTCTCTAGAATATCGATGCATATCCGGTCTTTATTGGTTTCTTGGCCCTGCTCCATTTTTGCGTGATAATCTTTTGGCCTTGTCAAACCCCTGCAGATGTTAACAGAACTCTGCCCATCCAAAGTCAACTCTGAAGCAGAAGCTCCTTTGGTCAAAAGTGACACTAATATTGATGGCTCTTTACGCATTGCAGCGATATGGAGAACAGTGTAACCCCTAGAATTCCGAAGATTGACATCAGCCAGACCTAGGCAAAGAACCTCAGACACAACTTTTGGATCACAGTATGCCACAGCATAATGGAGAGCATTAGCATCATCTAGACTTATATTAGACTCAGTCAGAAGTAGCTTCACCAGTTCAACATCATCCGAGTCCAATGCTTTATGTATTCGCCTGACTCTTTTTTCACGAAATGGGTCCAAAATTTCTCGGTTATTGTTTTCATCAGGCGGAGACTTGTCTCTCACCAGTCTAATATCCTCTGCAACTTCAAAGGGGAGTTCTTTCTCAATGGAAACCTTGTCAAGATCTGACCTTGCCACTCTATCAACACACTGAGCAATAAGCTGAGTTAATTGGCAATGAAATGCTACCACAAGGATTGGGAGAACATGTTCCACCATAGCCTTTCCGGTAAAGTTAAGAAGACGCCGCTGCCAATATAGAAAAAGTTGATAAGATGAGCCTGAAACAGAATTTATATTCACAAGTACAAGTCCCAGGGTTCATCATTGTAAATATGAAACAGAGGTTTAAATTACAGTTATTAACAGGCAGAGCAGCACTGGTATTGTTACATTTAAATTCTAATAAAACTAAGTTTTTAGGTAAAAAAATTCAAGATCCACATTAAAGATAAAGCATGGTTTTAAACAAAAATTCAAGTTCACATCAACTTTTTGATGCAAGGAAAATGCTGCAATGTGATACAACTACTGCCCATGCTAAGATTGCTCTAATTAATTGCATAAATTTTTTCCTGGTATTTCTCATGGCAATACAATTTGATATAGTAATGACTTATAGATGACCTTGCTGTGAAAACAGTGACCTATCCAATGTCAAAAACTAAAGGTGATGAAGCATGAAGCTTGCACTTAGAATTGATCAATTAGGTTACCAAAGCTGGTTGCTCATAAGAAATTCATCAAGCCATTTTTCTAGGTACATGCATAATGAAACATTTCACTAGATTAACCAGATACAAGACCCAAGTAGACATTTATGAATAATGTTTCTACACTCTGTACCACATATTAATGGTGGAAGATCCTTACCCCCAGTGAATTAGTGTTATTTGCAGAGTGCTTCACTTTATTCAAAATCCTTTGGAGAAAAAGTATAAAATAATATATCCAGAATTCAAATCCACATCCTACAGGTCGATAGCCTTAATATAAAAGGTAGGGTGATCAAGTATCACCTCAAACTTCATACTCATGTATCATAATCATCTCAACAATCACATAAGTAAAATTTTTTCACAGTTTACAAATTTTGTAAACATGGAATTCACGAAGGTCCCATGGAGCCAGGCGCTTCGCAAATTAGGCCTTACCTTAAGGTTCTTAGTTTTCACACAGTAGTTCATCCATAATACTCTATTATTGTTTGTTATTAGATCATGAAACCAACTAAGTGGGTGCACCGGATTTTTTAATTGTCAATGAAGGGAACAATTAAGTGACCAATGAGGCTAACCCTGAGCATCAGTAAGAAAAATAATAGAACTGCACCACTATACAATACAAATTTACAGACACAAGCAAGAAGTATAACTTATGCTCATTGTGAGTAGCACACTTGCCTGGAGGAGGGAAACCAGCTCTGGTATTGAATATGACGAGGCATACATCACTCACAGCAAATCAATGGCTGGCTACAGGCATCATGGGCGCATGCAGTATCAACACAGGTCGATACCTCCATGGGAGAAGGCTTTAATTTTCCAGTGTACAAGTAACTCAAGAATATCAAGAAGGCTTCATATCCAACCTTGCCATGAGGCAACAACTCACTCATTTTGAACTTTGGTTTTCATTCTTTTTCGGGATTCCCATTTTTTTTCTGAAGAGATCATTGAAGAACTTGCTCCTAGCAGCCAAAATACATCGATGAACACCAACAGAAATGCCCTCCACAATGATATCAGCATCACTGTAATCACAAGTTGAATCAATCAGGAGCCGTTCCAAGTTGGAGCTTAGCCTGCTTAGACTGATCACCTCAAGATTAGGCCCCGTTTCATGGCAAGAAGAGGATGAGAAGTTATGGCTAGCTGAGCAATTTGATAAGTGGGAAGATGAAGTAAAGCTCAAAGATGATGATGGCTCAGCTGAATTAGCCATTAACAATCTACTTAAGAACCGATTTGTACTAGTAAGAGGGAACTTTTAAGCTAACTTTCATACTTCTCCAGTAAAAGCTAAAATCCACCCCCCCAAAAAAACTGAAAATCTATAGAACTATCTTAACATTCTTGATCGTTATCATAAAGGGAAGTGCCCATTTCATGGAAAAGCTATCACAATTCATGAGAGAAACAGAACGCGATGAAACATAAATAAGCCTTGTTATTAGATTCCTGGAGATGGAAAATAAACCTCAACAGACAGAAACCCGGGAAAAGAAATTTCCCGAATGGGTGCAAGACAAAGCGAATTTAGCATAAACATGAAGCTATGATTAGTTACTGCAATCAATAAATATAGAAACATAGATTACAATTTAAACAAAAATGAAACTACATTTGACAACACTATTTACTTCAATTTCTTGCTTGAATTTCCAATACCACCTAATCAGCATAATGACTATGAGGAAAACTCATTAAAGAAAATTAGCTACCGAAAACAATTAACATATAAAATTTCAACAGCTTTCATTTCATTTATCTAAAAACAAAAACAAAAAAAAAAACTGAAGCAGATCTAAGAAAAATTTCTTAAAGAGGAAATCAAAGACGCACTAATCAAGGAATTTCTTAAAGGAGAAAAAAATCAGATAAGATTTCTATTCAAGAGAAGCAGGATGCAGAGGAGAAGCAAAGAGAGAGAGAAAAAATAATAAATAACAAGAGTAATCACCAAACGAAGTTTCCTATTTCGCTATCGACGCAAACAGGAAGAAAGAGAGAAATAGAAAGCAATTAAATTACTTAAAGAGGAAGAGAGAGTCAAGAGAGGTGAAGTCGTTCTGGGGACGAAGATGATGGCGTCAGCCTCCGTAGCTGGATTCTGCTGATGTAGACAATGGCGTCAGGTTTGTGAGAGAGAGAGAGAGAGAGAGAGAGAGAGAGAGAGAGAGAGGTGGGGGGAAGCTTTGTCGTTTTTTCAACGAAAATCAAGACCCTATTTATAATATCAAAGATTTCGTGTCCTCGTTAGCAATCAAAATCTAGGGTTCATTATGAAAATATTGAACAGAAGAGAGGTTTTTAAAAATAAAAATATTTCAGTAGGCCCCGGTAACTAATTATAGGAAATATTCTGGGGGGATTTCATATTTTTTAAAACAATAATTTTTTTTAAAAAAATTACATTTATTTATTTATAATATAAATTAATATTAATGGATATTGTATTTTTGTAGTCAAATCAATTTATAGAATAATTTAATGATAGTTATGGGAAAGGTCCAAGTTGTTATCATAGTTTTGTATTTTCCTCGTGGAATCCGGTTGAAACTATAAAACCAATAATAATAATAATAATAAGGCTTCTTCCACGAAAATAATAAAATTATTAAGTAATATAATAAAAGTAAATATTTTAATTAGTTGATATGAATTATTGTAACGATCCTGAAAATTTTAAAGAAAATAAATCATAAAATAAGTGTAGAATTAGAGTTTACATTCCTTATATAATAACTTAAAATACTAAATAATATTACGGGAATTATCATTTGAATGAAATATAAAAAAATTAAAAAATTAAACAAAAAATAAATAAAACTAGCATCTTACTCGCACCCCTCTTGTAGATTGAGCTCTTGATCCTGATCCTCTTGATCCGAAATTATTAAATAAGGAATGAGTCACATTAGTTCAGTAAGAATATCACGCTACTCACCGACACAGAAATGAAGGTTGGTATAAAAATCAAAATAACTAATGAAACTCTTAATTAAGAAAATTCATTATCATAAACAAAATCGTTTAACGCCAACTTTTCGTAGCGAAATTTACAAAACAATTTATAGAGACAATAATATAACACATTTTATAATTTTATATGCAATTAATTAGAAAATAATTTTTTCTTTAATCAGCCTACTAGTATTCATGGGGGTTCATAGGGATGTCCCCACAATGCGTGAACTTTTTCCTTTAACGTTTTCAATTAATGAGTCGTCCCCATACCTCGTTCGGTATGAGGGCCAAATTATAAAACCTCGATACCCCGTTCGGTATGAGGGTGAAACAGACTGTTCCATACATTGTCTAGTATGAGCGTCAAATTACTAAGTTTCAATACCCCGTTCGATATAAGGCAACGTTCACAATAGGATTTTCTATGCACCCAGTCCGTCCACTATCTCATAGGATATCCAATAAGGCTACCGTTTCATCCATTCACTTAATCACACAGTTCCCCATTTACCTTTAATCTTTAGTTTTCCAGTTCAATCATAATCACATAAAATAACAATACATACATTCAAAACTTTAAAATCAATCAACAGATATTATCATGCATCCAAATTGTAAACTAATTCAACAATAATCAATAGTGAATAATTTTTGATTTTGGCTCCATTAGTAACCCGTGATTAATTATAGATATTTTTTAAATTGTATAAAATACTATATTATTGTTAATTTAACTTCAATTCCATAACAGAAAATAGGGTAAGAGATTCTTACTCAAATTGATGTCCGAAAAGCTAAACTTATTTACTGCAGCTACTGGCGGTCCCCGGATTCTCTGAATTTTTCTTCGGGGATTAAAACGCGTTACAAGTACCTACAAATACCCAAAAATCCAAAATCGGTGTCAAGACCTCTTTTTGGCAAATTCTGGAATTCCGGCACGATGGCTCCACCGTGCTCCAGCAACGGCCGGCGGCGGTTTGCATCGAGTCGACTGTTTTTGGCCATTTTCGATCAAATTCGGTTAGTTTTGCATCAATCCATGTGAAAAGATATGTTAAGGAGCCTCGATTGGCTGAAAAAAATAAAAAATCGAAACTCATTGATGACGGGGTTCTCCGGTGCAGTGGCTCCACCAGCTCACATTTGCAATTGGATGTTTTGCTTCGGTCAACTTGTAGAGGATGAAACGATGGTTACAATGGTGAAAGAATTACATAGAACAGGAATTGGGAAGGGTCTCATCGGAGGCTTTTTTGTAATTTTCCACAGCGGCACTGCCGAGCTTTGCTCGCGGTTTCCAGTCAATCTGCCGGTCTTTTGACTTTGATTTGACTATAGGGGTGTTTAAAATTGAATTTCAAGCAAAAAAAATTTTTTTTACCTCTTTTTGCGATCGAAAGTAGCTCTAGCGCGGCGGCGGGTGACGACGGCTCTCCTTCCCAGCGGCTATGTATTCTTCTCTGGCGATGGTGTCTGGCGGCTAGGGTTAGGGTTTGGTGTTAATAAGGTTATTTATATTCGTTTCCTTTTAATCTGGGCCGTCCATCGTGTTTGATCTGAACTGTCCGATCGCGATTAAATAAGAAGTAGATATGGACTGTTGATCGCATTTAAATTTGATCGTTCGATTGCGTATGGGGAGTGCATGCATCTGGGCCGTCCGCGCGCACGGGAACAGATCTGGGTCGTCTGATTGCGGGCACGTGGATCGCCCGCGTGGCCTACTGCGTGGCACCGCGTCAGTGTCCCTCGCCACGAGGCACGTTCTAGTTCGTCGGGGCTACTGATTGGGCATCCTACATGGCACAACTTTCATAAATTGTGTTTTAACCTCCGATTTTCGATTTTTCTTTTAAAAATACTCCCAAAATCCAAATTTTTACCTTTTTTTTTCTCAAAATTGTTTTTAATTTCATTCTTCACCTAATTTTCTTTATTTTTACGTTAAATTAAAATTAAAAAATTATTTTTATAAATTAATTTAAAATTACATAAAAATAAATTGAGTATTACAACTCTCCCCCCTTAAAAGAAATTTGGTTCCTCAAATTTGTCTTTCTCTCACTCAATCAAACAGTTGGGGGGTATTGGGCTCTGAAGTCTGATTCTACCTCCCATGTGACTTTTCTCGATATGTGATTCTGTCATAGAACCTTAATAAAGAAAATTTTCCAGTTGGGGAGTAATCTACTCTTTCAGTCCACAATACCGACCGATATTTTCTCATAGGACAGATCCTCTTGGAGTGAAAGAGACTCGTGGGCCAAGATGTGAGAGGGGTCCAAATTGTACTTGCGTAGCATAGACACATGAAACACATTATGGACCCTGGAAAGTTCTGAAGACAGTGCTAGTCTGTAGGCGGCGGTACCAATTCTGTCTAAGATTTCAAATGTTTCAATAAATCAAAGATTCAGCTTCCCCCTCTTGCCAAACCTACGGATTCCTTTGAAAGGGACGACTTTAAGGAACACCTGATCGACTTTCTCAAATTTCAAATCTCTCCTCTTGGTATCTGCATAACTCTTATACATGCTCTAAGCCATTTGAATGTTCTTTCTGATCTTAACTATTTTGGATGTAGTCTCTTCTATGAGATCTGGGCCGAACAATTTCTTATCACCTACTTCTTCTCAACATATTAGTGACCTACATGGACAGTCGTACAACGCCTCATACGGAGCCATGCTAATACTTACTTAGTACCTGGTGTTGTAGGCGAACTCTATTAGGGGTAGATGGTCATCCCCCATAGCCCCCGAAGTCAAGAACACAAGCTTGGAGCATATTCTCAAGTGTGCAGATCGTCCTTTCTAACTGTCCATCGGTCTGAGAGTGGAATGTAGTACTAAGGAACAGTTTCGTTTCCATGTCTTACTGAAAGCTGGACCAGAACCGAAAAGTGAACCCGGGGTCCCTGTCGGACACTACTGTCACTGATACTCTATGTAATCTGACTATCTCCTGGATATACATTCTAGCTAACTTGTTCAAGAGATCGGTCATCTTGATGGCCAAGAAGTGGGAAGACTTAGTAAGCCGATCAACAATTACCCAGATGACATCATATCCTGAGCATGCCCTAGACAATCCTATCACGAAATCCATAGTGATATGTTTCCATTTTCACTCCGGAATTGGTAATGGCTGAAATAGCTCATCTAGACGTTGATGCTATGCCTTGACCTGCTGACATACTAAACACTTATAAACAAATTCAGTCACATCTTTTTTCATCCCGTTCCACCAAAATTGGGGTCGCATACATTGATACGTCTTAGTGCTTCCGGGACGCATTGTAAACTTTGAGCTATGGGTCTATGTCATGATGTCTCTTTTCAACTCACTGTCACCTGAAACACACACCCTGTCCTGAAATTTAAACAACCCATCGGCAGATACTCGAAATTCTGAATTTACTTCATGTTATGCATTTTTCTTGAGGTCTGCTAAGGTAGAATCGACTGACTGAGCTTCTTTTATTCTCTGTTGTGCGGCCCCTATTACTCTGTATTTTGAAACTATCAAATGAGCTAATATACCAGTACTTTTTCTGCTGAGTGCGTCGACTACCACATTACCCTTATACAAGTGATATAAGATGTCGTAATCATAGTTCTTGATGAGTTCTATCCACCTTCTCTTACGTATGTTGAGATCTTTTTGAGTGAATATGTGTTTCAAGCTCTTATGATTAGTATAGATCTGAAAGGTCTCCTAATACAAGTAATAGCACCAAGTCTTCAAAGTGTGGATAATTGCGGCTAATTCTAAGTCATTGGTGGAATAGTTTTTTTCATGACTCTTTAACTACCTGGACCCATAGACTATGACCTTCTCATGCTACATCAAAACACAACTAAACTCTAGGTACGAGGCATTACTATAAACTGTATATCTACCCGATCCGCTCGGCAAGGCTAACACAGGTGCGGTAGTCAACCATCTCTTTAGTTTTGAAAAACTTCTTTCACAGTTCTTATT